CGTTTCAATCCTGTGGCCACTGCCTATGCAGGCTCGGTTGGCATTTACTTCCGTAGGATCAGAAGGGCTGACCAGTTGTTTCAGCGGGATCGTTAGTGCTGAGTCATAGCGGTTTGGCTGCGAGAAGCAGGCGAACGAGAGCTTGAATGCAGCCGATCCGGGCTCAGTGTGTGTTCTGAGAGGTCCAGATTGATCACCCCAGATCCACGTCAGCTCTGCATTGCCTAGTGATCCTGAGCAAACAGCATTTAGACAGTTTAGGACTCCCTATGCCTGCGAAGCTGAAGAGGTCAGAGACTTGATCTCTCCGCGCCCGCTGCCATGTTGGATCGGGTATTGGCTCTTGTAGGAACAAAATCTAGAAGGACAAGTGTGAACTCAATGAAATATGAATGTTTTTTGCTGCCTTTTAAATTTTAATGACAGGTTTAGGGGAGATATATGATTAAGGGTAGTGATTGCAGACATTTTCTTTGAAGGTCTATTTATTGTTGAAAGATTAAATATTTTAGATCTTCTTTGAAAGATTAAATACTTTAGATTTTCTTTTAAAATAATATTTACTATTTAGTTTATATGTCATAAATTCACTGCCCAGAAAAGAAGTTGAAATGTTACTTAATTTATCGTATTTCTTCATAGTATCATTTAACTGTGTCAGAACAATAGTTGCCTACTATTTGCTTTAAGACCTGAAAAGAAGATGATACTCAAATTTTATAACTTTCATAATTTGTGACACATTAGGCCAGATATATTGGGAAGAACCTGGACCCAAAGGTAGAAATGCCATGTAGGGAATGCGTTAAACTGTAGACCATCCTTCAGGAAGATATCAAATCAGCTAGTCAAGATAGGGGGAAAAGCACAATACTAGATCCTTGGCTAGGCTCTGAATTTATATAGATAAGCAAGGCATAGTTGCTTTCTACTTGGCCAAGCAGGGTATCATAATGGGCAGATAAGCAGAACATGACAAATGAGAGAAAATTAAGTGTTGGAAATAGTTCATAAGTCAGACACACTCGTAGTTGGCATCGCATAGCAGGCAACAGACTTGAACTGAGATCTGGACTCAGAGGCAGTACTCAGATATTTGAGGCATGGCATTGTTTGTAGATGAACTAGGAGGAATAAGCTAGGGCTCCATTACTAAAGGAACTGGCATAGAATACCTGCATAAAGAGCCATACTGAGATAACATTACCAGGAGAGGAATACAGGTTGACAATGTTCCCAGACTTTGAAGCAAGTACATTTTTATTTATTTTTTGTGCTATTAGGGATTGAGCCCAGGGCCTTGTGCCTGTAAGGTAAGCATGCTGCCACTGAGCCACATATCCAATCCTAAGGAGTACTTCTTAAATCTATTCTAACAAATGTCAAGTTTGGAACTGGAGCTTAGTGTAGGACTGAACCTATAATTGGGAGTTCAAATGTTGTTAGTAGTGAGTAGAATAGGAAAACAGGAGACCAGGTGTATCTTAATAGCATAGACTCTATATGCAACTATAATTTAAGGCCCAATTGGTATTGAAGCCAAAGTTTATTTTGAGTATGTCCAAGGTAACCTTATTGGTTACTGTTAGTGTCTTTCTCACTTGCATCCTTCCTGTCTTAAATTTAGGAGACATTGCTTGAATATTCTCCACATGTGGGGAATACTCTCCCATGTACTAGTATAGGCAAAAAGGTGAAAATATGCACAGTCTGTAAAGCTTTTATATTTGCACCATGCCAATGTCTGGCCTTTGTTAATTTTTATTGTCTGCTTTTTACACTCCTTCCTTTGAGCTGCTTGGGCATTATTGTTGTTTTTTAAAATATGATTTTAGTTGTAGATGGACATAATATCTTTATTTTATTTATTTTTATGTGGTGCTAGAATCGAACCCAGTGCGTTACACATGCTAGGCAAGGGCTCCACCATTTACAGCCCCAGCCCTGCTGGAACATTGTTGGGAAATTTTATGAAACCATACTTATTGGATCTTCTAAAATTATGGTTTTTTTTTTTTTTTTTTTTTTTAAAGAGAGAGTGAGAGAGGAGAGAGAGAGAGAGAGAGAGAGAGAGAGAGAGAATTCCCAATATTTACTCTTTAGTTCTCGGCG